GAAGAAACGCCGTGCGCGAGTGAAGAGAGACGAACTGTAAAGATACGACGGCAGAGTTTGCAATAATAAGACTGTTTTGAGGACGGAGCGCTGCCACGTTTCTTATGCAGTTTCCTTTTGTTCCGACTCATTTCACCCCACAGAACAGACGTTCGGCGACGCCTTTAATTTTCCCGACCGAGGAGCCGGGGAACTTCCTGTTGGGGCGGATAACGAGACGCAGTTTTGTAAATAAAACCTCCACCAAAAGATTTCAGTCACGCAGATGAACTCACACAAAAAAATGCACATTAATCTGATTTAAGGATATTTTTTTGATGGGCTGCTGGTACCTCTGCCATGTCTCTGCCTGCCTGTCTGTCTGTCTGCCCTGCCTGTCCTGTCTGCCATGTCTGTCTGCCTGTCTGTCTGTCTGTCTGTGGGGGGTTTAGAGGCCAACTCAGTGATTTTCCACACAACCTTTCAGACGCTCAACCACTCCTACCTCTGTCTGTGTGGATGGGAGAGGCCCCTCGTGCTCTGAATGTATTCTCTGCCGCAGACACAGACGGGATCAGACCACATTCAGTCTTAATCGATTGTTCGGATCCACGAAAACCTTCATTTCTGTCCTGTTGTTTTTTTATAAAGCTGTCCTCTGCACACAGGGTTACGTCACCAGTAGGTCAGTCTCAAGTTTTAAGAGTCAAAGAGTCACGAGGAAGTCGTTACTGTCGACCGCGACGGGACGCAGAAAGAAAGGTTATTTTGTTCTTTGCAGCTTCACACCGACAATCAGCTGTTTCCTGTTTCTGTAGGATTTTCCTGTTTTGTCGTCCTATCAGTTTTGCTTTCTCTACTCACTGTGTGGTGGGGGTCGACCTGTCTTCTGCTGTCTGTCTGTCTGGCTGTCTGACCGGCTCCAGTATCAGCTGTTATTCTCTTCCATTAAACTGTAATCCAACAATCTGCTAAAATTAAAAGCATCAGATTCTCTGTGACATAAAGGAAAAATCCACCCAGAAACACTCAGAATAAACTGCTTTTAGTAGTTTACTCGCCTCTTCTCCGAGCAGATCTCCTTTAAAGGGAGCTGTTCACTAACGTTTACTCTGACTGTGAGGCGGTTTTAGTCGGTCCCTCCAGGATTTAGTGTTGTTTTGGGGAGGATTGTTTCGGCCTAAGATGTCGGATTTCACAGCAACTTTTTCTAAACAACTTCCTGGAGGGACAGTTTAGGTTCTTCTGTCTGTTTCAGGGTTTGCGAACTGTTAAAGCCGTCTACAGTCGTGTAATCCATCACGGTGAACGTAACGCTGCAGTGTCGTAGACAGCCTCACCTCCAGGCTGCAGTTCTCTTCTGAAAACCCCCAAAATATCGTCATCTACGACGAGTAACAGCAGCAAACCGCACATTTTAAAGCTGAAACCATCAAATGTTTCACCACTTTTATCAACTTTTACTTTTTAAAAATGACGTCACATTGTCGAGTAATGAATTCTTAAATTATCTGATGATTCATTTCCAGTGTATTGGTTGATCTTAATTAAAAGTAACTCAGTACATTTACTCAAGTGCTTCAGTTTGAGCTACTTTATACTTTTAATAATCTGCTGATAAAACATTATAGTTGACTAAAAACTAAATATTTAAAGTTTAAATGAGATACAACATAAACTGTGGTGGATTACACTGTTAAAGGTCTGCAGACTGATTTTTGTGCTTTAGTGAAATGAATGGACATCAATGGACACGTGATTTACAGTGAACAGGCTGAAACAGTCCTTTAAATCCCGCGGAGGCGTTTTTGGCTCGAGGGCGGATTTTTCCTTTAAACCAAACTCTGCAGCGGTTTGTGGACAAGTCGAGACAAACGTTGAGTGTGTGTGAAATGTGTTTTGGTGACGAGCTGCAGGTTCTGGCTCCGTTATGGATCCGGGCGGCGGCGGGTGGCGGTGGAGGGTGACTGTTTGACCTCGCCTCACTTACAGACAGTAACATCCAGCTGATGTGTCCCGACCAGTCTGGAGATTTTATAAACTGGGTGACGTTTTATTTTGCTCTTACCAAGTGGATGATGGTATATATATTTTTTTCTCACTCTGTTCTAATCCACACCTCTTTTCTAGAGATTTCTCTCGAGTACTTTGTGTTCATTTCCTCTGTTGAAATTTGTATTTATATGTTTAATAAAACAAGGTATGATCTGCTACGGTTTCGTCACATTTGTGTTTGCTGTAAGTGAGAACGCCCGAGGAAGCACACAGAGTGAGAGTGAGGGGTGAGTCACATTAGTGAGGCTGCAGATTGAGGAAGGATGTGGTCGCACTGAGCTGGTGTTTCTCGTCAGTTGATTTGTGATAGACGACGTGTATGTTAACGTTACTGCTGCAGAGAGAAAGTGAAGAGTTAAATGAGCTAATGCTAATAAGGTCATAAAAACAAACCACAGTGTGCAGTAAATCCTGGAGCTTTAAAGAACCACAGACTTCACTGAAGTTAATGTTCACAGCTTTTACTAGAAGCAGCTACAAGGAACTTTGTGTTGATTCTGATTAAAAACCCCAGTAGAAAGTATTTTCATCAAAAATATACTTAATGACCTGACAGCAGTAACATTAATGTACTTCAACAGGAGAGGACCGAAGAAAAAACAAAGATCTGATACAGAAATCTGACTTTTCTCTGATCTTTGCTGTTTTTTGGGTAAAATATTGATGATTTAAACAGTTTCAGTTTATTACTGAAGCCTTTATTTGACCTACATGTACAAACATTAGACACACCACTGCTTTTGTCCACAGGTGGCGCCAGAATCAACACAATTAAAGTT